CAGGCCCCCACGGGCGTTTTTTGATTGCTAGGGATTGGGGGGGGGGGGACGTGCAGATCTGTCCTCACAGAGGAGGGAGAGCTCGTACCGGAATAAAACTTGGTCTTAAAGGTGCCACTGGACTGTTTTGGATTGCTAGCTGGGGGGGGGACGCACAGATCTGCCCTCACAGATCTGTGCAAAAAGGGGGGGGGGAGGGAGAGACAGAAATAAGGAGGGAAAGGTGCCACTGGACTGTTTTGGGCGGGGGGGGCTCTGCAACTTCCCTGGCTGCTTCTTGCTCTGACTGAGGGCTGCTGGGAGCAGGGGGTGGGGCTTGTTGCATGTGCCCGCCCCCTGGGCTCTTGACTGCCGGAGCTCTGCTCCTGTGTGCTCCTGCAGGAAATGAGCCCTGGATCCCGTATCAAAGGCTGAGCCCTGACCCAGATAGCAAAGGCTAGCCTGATCGCATCAGATCTTGGAAGCTAAGCAGGGTCAGCCCAGATTAGTACTTGGATGGGAGACCAACAGGGAAGTCCAGGGTTGCTATGCAGAGGCAGGCAAGGGCAAAACACCTCAGTTTGTAGGACCTGACCTGGACAACCCAGGCTAGCCCAATCCCAGAAGCTAAGCAGGGCCAGCCCTCATTAATACTTGGATGAGAGACCAGGAACGAAGCTGGCAATGGCAAATCACCCCCTGTTCGCCTCTTGCTTTGAAAACCCTCCAGAGTAGACACAAGAACCTAAGAGAAGCCATGTTGGATGAGGCCAGTGGTCCATCCAGTCCAACACTCTGTGTCACACAGTGGCCAAAACCCAGAGGCCATCGGGAGGTCCACCAGCAGGGCCAGAACTCCACAAGCCCTCACACTGTTGTCTCCCAAGCGCCAAGAAGACTGAGCATCACTGCCCCAGACATAAGAACGTAAGAGAAGTCATGTTGGATCAGGCCAGTGGCCCCTCCAGTCCAACACTCTGTGTCACACAGTGGCCAAAACCCAGGGGCCATCAGGAGGTCCACCAGTGGGGCCAGTAGCCCTTTTATTGTGGCCTCTCCAAGCACCAAGAAGACAGAGCATTACTGCCCCAGACACAAGAACATAAGAGAAGCCATGTTGGATCAGGCCAGTGGCCCATCCAGTCCAATATTCTGTGTCACACAGTGGCCAAAACCCCCAGGGGCCATCAGGAGGTCCACCAGCAGGACCAGGACTCCAGAAGCCCTCCCACTGTGGCCCCCCAAGCACCAAGAAGACAGAGCATCACTGCCCCAGACATAAGAACGTAAGAGAAGCCATGTTGGATGAGGCCAGTGGCCCCCAAAGTCCAACACTCTGTGTCACACTGGGGCCAAAACCCAGGGGCCATCAGGAGGTCCACCAGTGGGGCCAGTAGCCCTTTTATTGTGGCCTCTCCAAGCAGACAGAGCATCACTGCCCCAGACACAAGAACGTAAGAGAAGCCATGTTGGATGAGGCCAGTGGCCCCCAAAGTCCAACACTCTGTGTCACACTGGGGCCAAAACCCAGGGGCCATCAGGAGGTCCACCAGTGGGGCCAGTAGCCCTTTTATTGTGGCCTCTCCAAGCAGACAGAGCATCACTGCCCCAGACACAAGAACGTAAGAGAAGCCATGTTGGATGAGGCCAGTGGCCCCCAAAGTCCAACACTCTGTGTCACACTGGGGCCAAAACCCAGGGGCCATCAGGAGGTCCACCAGTGGGGCCAGTAGCCCTTTTATTGTGGCCTCTCCAAGCAGACAGAGCATCACTGCCCCAGACACAAGAACGTAAGAGAAGCCATGTTGGATGAGGCCAGTGGCCCCCAAAGTCCAACACTCTGTGTCACACTGGGGCCAAAACCCAGGGGCCATCAGGAGGTCCACCAGTGGGGCCAGTAGCCCTTTTATTGTGGCCTCTCCAAGCAGACAGAGCATCACTGCCCCAGACACAAGAACGTAAGAGAAGCCATGTTGGATGAGGCCAGTGGCCCCCAAAGTCCAACACTCTGTGTCACACTGGGGCCAAAACCCCGGGGCCATCAGGAGGTCCACCAGCGGGGCTGAGAACTCCAGAGGCCCTCCCACTGTGCCTACCCAAGCACCAAGAAGACAGAGCATCACCGCCCCAGACAGAGTGTTCTTTCTAGACCTTGTGGCGAACAGCCACTCAGGGACCTCTGCTCCAGATGTTTCTCCAGTCCCCTCTTGAAGCTGCCTTTGCTTGTAGCCACCACCACTGAATCCCACATGTTCATTCTTCTTTGGGGGAAGAAGCATGAGCCATGCGTGGGCTGCGACCACTGTTCCCTCTAAGCTGAGTTAGTGTGAGCTAGCTCACTGTTTTTTAGCCTCCGGCTCACACATTTTTCTCTTAGCTCGGGAAGGATGGGGCTCCAGAGCAAACTAATTTAGGGAGCCGCCAAATTACTTGCTCACAACTGTATTGCCCGGAGCTCACAAAGTAGAATTTTTGCTCACAGGACTTCACAGCTTAGAGGGAACATTGGCTGCGACTTGAAGGCCCTTCCCCCCACCCCCACCCTCTGGCTCGTAACGGATAAGGCGCCTACTGTTCGCAAACGTGGAGCCACCACCCCAGTCTTTGACCTACGCCAGGCGAGCCCGCGACGGGGAGTTCCGCAGGCCCAGGAGCTGCAGTCAGAGGCGCGGCACAACGGCTCAGAAAACTGGATGCGGAGGCGGGGGGGCCGTGATCCGGATCTGGGTTCGAATCCTACCCAAACCCACAGAATACGGGATTCCCCGCAGAAACCAAAGCGAGTTGGGCGAGGGCTAAACTTACGTAGAGCTGGCCCAAGCGGGTCTCGTAGAAGGGCAGCGGGCCGGCCAGGCTGAGCGCCTCCGAGCTCTCGTCGTCGCCGTCGGGCAGCGCCCGGTCGCCGCGCCCCGCCCCGAAGGGCAGCAGCTGCGAGCGCGGCAGGGCGCCGGCGCCCCCGCCCATCGCCAACAGGGCGCCCAGGCAGAGCAGCCCCGTCCTCGCCATGCTTCGCCTCCGGCCCCCACTCCGCGCTCGGCAGCAGCAGCCCCGCCGTCGAGGCCGCCCGGGAATGCCCGGGGCGGGGCCGGGGGCGCCTGCCTGGCGCCGCCATTGGACGCCCGG